GTTTTAATTATTTGTTGTTTTAATTTATTTTTGTATTTTTAATTATCATTGATGATCTTGTTGTATGCCTTCAAGCAATTTCTGACCTAAGGCAAACCTATCATAGGCTAGGTTTGTTCAGAAGGGATTTGCTTTCACCTTACTGTGGTGCTTTGGCAAGGTGACTTGTCAACAATCGCTAAGTGGATTTTCATGGCCGAATGAAGATTTGAATCTTTGACTCCAGAGCTATCCAGTGCTCAACTGCTAAACTACACTAGCTCTCATTTTAAAATTGAATTTTCTGCCCTTTTATAACCTGCAATGAATCCCAGTCTGGGAGGAAGGTACATTTTTAAATAGAAGGATGCACAGATGGAGGCTGTATTGCATGCCTCCCCGCACCCTTCCCTCCAGCATCTTCTGCTTGAGGCACAATAAGGCCAGACTAGGAAAGGGAATCTCCAAGATTTTTGTTGGATTGCCTTAAGAATGTGAAATGATTAAGAGATTCTCAGATTTTTTTTTCCTGCTCAGGAAATAATATGATCCTTCACTTCCTTTTTGACCCAAGTTCAAATATCACATCCCCTGTTAGAACAGAGGCTGGGCTGCTTTGTAAACATATGATGACACAGAGGTAGCCCAGCCCTGTTAGCTCATCTGATGAGGTGGACTTTGGTCTACAAAGACTTACATCATAATATATGTTAAGAGTTTTGCCTTTGAGGTGTCACAAGATCTGTTGTTGTTTTTCTTTGCTGTAGCAACTGAAATAGCAAGATGCACACTCTTTACATAATTCTTGGAATATTAACTTCAAAGATGTATTAGTTACAGTGGGGGGGAAAGTATTTAGTCAGATACCAATTGTACAAGTTCTCCCACTTAAAAAGACAAGAGAGGCCGGTATTTGACATTTTCCACCATAATTTGCAAATAAATTCGTTAAAAATCAGAAAATGTGATTTTCTGAATGTGATTTCTCATGTTGTCTCTCATATTTGAGGTCTACCTATGATGTCAATTACAGGCCTCTCTCATCTTTTAAAGTGGGAGTACTTGTACAATTGGTACCTGACTAAATACTCCCCCCACAACTGTATATAGTTCCAAGGACCCAAAAGGCAGAATGTCTACTTAATTGGTCTTTAATAACAAAACATGTTGTAGGTACTACTCTCAACATATTTTTTTTTCTTTTCAATTTCTGCCACATTTTTAGTCAAACACATGTCAGGTTTGAACATTTATTAATACTAAACATGAAAAATGTGGGAGTTTAGTCCACTGTCATAAAAATAAAACATGGAAATAGTGGCAATTGCTTTCCCCACTTTGCACTTTCCATATATGTTGGAAAGTGAATGGAAATGGCGGGAACTTAGTAATTGCTAGGTTGGAAAGAAGTCCTGAAGTACAGTATGATCTCCATATCTACGGGGACATTTTCCAAAACTCCATGGACACCTGAAATGCAAATAGTAGGAAAGCATGGATTGTAATGACAATACTTGGGCTGGGAGCATGTCATAGAATTGAACTGGGGAACCTAGAGAGGCCCACAAACACTTCCGGAAGGGATATTTTTTGCACTGTGGATGGGTGAAACTGTGGAGACAAAGTTCATGGATAAGGAAATCATACTTTATTATTTTATTGCTTATTCACATTCCTTTTCTCTCAATTCCTATCAACTGTTTACTCACAAATTGTCATGACTGGAAAAAAAATAATTGCTATTACATTGCACTGTTTCCCTGCAATAGCAAAATGCAGCTGTAAGTAGCTTCCAAGATTAGTTGGTGAAGTGGGCAGAGACTTGTTTAAGAAGAACTATCTTTGTTATCTCTCATGCAGAAAGACTTCTACACTGATGAAGAACTGTATCCTCTACCTTCCCACTCACAAAAAAGACGTATGAGCTGCAAAGATCAATGCCATTGCACGTGTTTGGTATGCAAAGACCAGCAGTGACAATCGCTTGCAACTACAGTTCTTAGAAAACTAGCGCTTTCCCATTATCCTCCTTGAGACTTCCTCTGGTAATTAATAAAGCAAAAATTCTTATTACTGCACTGTAGGAACAGTGAGTGCTATCAATAGCAGATATACTTGTTAAGTGTTGTTGAGAAAAGGGGGTAACAGTACATAACAAATGAATCAGTAAATAACAAATGAAATATAACAAGTTCAAAGTTTAAAGTTGATAACAAGTGCCTCTTAACCAAAAAAATGAATTAATTCACTATTTTGGGAAAGATAATAACTAGGTCAAAATTAGTAAGATTTAACTAGTTAAATGGGGGATGCCTGGCTCGATAGTAGTACGTGTGAAAAAGATCTTGGGACAAGTTAAGCAATGTCATACGGCGGCTAAAAAGCTAGTGGGATTTTGGCCTGCATAAATAGGAGTCTAATGTCTAGATCCCGGGAAGTCATGTTATCTCTCTATTCTACCTTGGTCAGACCACACCTGGAATCACACGTGTCCAATTCTGGGCACTGCAATTTAAGAGAGATGTTGACTCTAAGCTGGAATGTGTCCAGAAGAGGGCAACTAAAATGATCAAGGCTCTGGAGAACAAGCCCTATGGAGAGTGGCTTAAAGAGCTGGGCAGGTTTAGCTTAAAAAGAAAAGGCTGAGAGCATACATGATGAGGGCCATGTATAAATATGTGAGGGGAAGTCATAGGGAGGAGGGAGCAAGCTTGTTTTCTGCTGCCCTGGAGACTAGGATGTGGAACAGTGGCTTCAAACTACAGGAAAGGAGATTCCACATGAACATTAGGAAGAACTTCCTAACTGTGAGAGCTGTTCAGCAGTGGAACTCTCTGCCCCCGTGTGTGGTGGAAGCTCTTTCTTTGAAGGCTTTTAAGCAGAGGCTGGATGGCCATCTGTCAGGGATGTTTTGGATGCGATTTTGCTGTTTCTTGGCAGGTGGTTGGACTCAATGGCCCACGAGGTCTCCTCCAGCTCTATGATTCTATAAGTTATTATCAAGCATTCTGTATGAACTGTATGACTGTGGTCTTTTGTACTAAAATACAAATAACCTTTATGGACAGAAAGTACCAGAGAAGTCTGTTTGCTCCTATCATTGCCCACTCATCAGCTTTATTGGGGGGTTTAGTAGCAGATCTAGTTTCAGTGTTGTTAGGGTTTGGGAAGAGGATATAATCACTTTAGGAAGGGAAATGTATGCTTAACTATAAATGATGGCTGGTCATTTTGCAAAAACAGGCCAGCATGATCTGATTATTTGCAAAAGGAGTCTGCAAAGGTTATTAACTTTGCTTGTAAAAATGGCATGCAAAGCGCTCCACAGAAGGCAAAGAAGAGGCTGTCGCCAGCCATAGGACAACAGTGAAGCTGTATTGTCTGACTGAAGTTGTCTATGTACTAGTTATGCCTGAGGCACTCTTCTCCATTTTATAGAAAAAGAAGGGTGTTATAGTTATGAGGTATATGTCTATGATGTTGCCCAGGTCTATGAATATAACTTTTATTCCCAAATAAAATAAAACTCAGGAATCTTGCCAGAAAGACCATATACATCCCTCTTCCATTTTGCCACTCTTTTAGGAATCTTTGCAGCCATGCCTCACAAAACTCTCCTATTTTCTAGCCTTTAAAATAATAATTCCCCAAAGAATTATGATAGTCCCATCTCTATTGCTTCTCTGAAGCACCATGCCTGGAAATTTGAGCACTGAATTTGGATAACAACAAAAAACACAGTGAAATGTTGAGATACCCAGCATGAAGACCTTGTAAAATATGGCTACCACGGATAAGTATTCATTTGCCATTTAATCTAGATTTTTATTCCTAATGCTCCTCCCAAAGAGTCCAATATGAACCCAATGTGCTGCTGTTAACTGAAAAGAAAAGCTATACTTTCTAATATACAATGGGAAGCTACTTCATTTCTTGATTCCCGAAAAATTATGTAGTGACCGAGGATGAATCTACACTGTAGAATCGATGGAGTTGGACACAATTTAAACTGTCATGGCTCACTGCTTTGGGATTCGAAGAGCTGTAGTTTTATATGGTCTTTAACCTTCTCTTCTAAAGACTTCTAGGCTCTTTCCAAACTATAAATCTTAGGATTCCATGACACTGAACCTGGCAGTTAAACTGGTGCCAAACTGCATTATTTCAACAGTGTAGAAATGGGGCTACAAAATGGAGTCCACAACATGCGAGTGTGGAGAAGAGCAAACCACAGACCACCTATTACAATGCAGCCTGAGCCCTGCCACATGCACAATGGAGGACCTTCTTATAGCAACACCAGAGGCACTCCAAGTGGCCAGCTTCTGGTCAAAGGGCATTTAATAGATTACAAGTTTGCAAACTTTGTGTATTTTTTGTTTTGTTTTTTAAAATACAGTACAACTGTTTGGTTCGCTCCTGATACGATAAATAAAATAAAGAGTGTAGATGCTCCCTGGGTGATACAGATGCCAGATGTTATGGGGAAGCATGATTCCTAGATGTGTTGAGAGTACATATTATAATTATGATTGGCACTATTGACTTAAAGAGGGCTAACTTTGTGACACAGATAACACATAAAATGGCTTGTTAGATCAATGCCTAAGTGTGTATGTTTTTCTCATAAGTCATAAGGAATACTGTTCTTATTCTTTAGCTTCAGGAAGTATGCCAGAAACATTACAAGTGCTTTATAAGGATCAGTGTTTCTAATAGGAAATGCGTAAAAAGTAAGCTTTTGAGTGACATTCCCCAAGTGGGCATTTCGAAACAAGAATTGTCTGAGACAGGTGCCTTCTGGAATTGCTGCAATTATATAAATGTTCAAATACAGTACTGATTTGAAACTGTCATACTGAAGGGTCGTTTGCCAATCTGAGTTGTAGAAGACAGAACTTTCTGCCGTTGACCACAGGATGTAGGGAATGCTGTACTGAGAACATACACCAGAGGGTGGCAGCATTGCCCTCTACTTCAGTAAGTTTGGTCACAAATAAAAAGATCCGCATTTATGAAAATTGTTCTTATGGATTTTATTACAATTTGAAATCAGAAACTATATATACATTCATACATGGAAAATGAATCTTTTTTCCTAGTTGGAGAACAAGGGAAGTCACATTTCATAACCATGATATACAAAAGAACATTTAAAAAAGAGAGCGCGACCAGGGCTTCCAGAGCTAATTCTGGTCACTCAAACAACCACTCAGCCATTCCTCGCACATCTAGATTTGCTTCCCTTGGCTTCACAATGAGGACATATGACAGCTTTGGATAACATAAATACAGGGAGGTGGGAATGTTGTTTTATTGATTAAATCAAGAAGTTGTGGGGAGGGGGGATCCTATTAGTTAATATTATTTCATATCCTTTATCATACTCCAGTAAAATGCATCTGTTAAAAAAGCAGCTCCCACCACAAAGTTGGAAAATGCTGTTTGCTTTGTCCTCACTTACTGTAAATCCAATAAGCATTGTTTAAATAGAATCAAGCTTACTACTTGATCTTGGGCTCCATTCCCATCCTTCCCTGGCATCAGAGTCTAAGATAGAGGCTGGCAAACTTCAGAGGCCCAGCAAGCAGTGATCTTCTTTGGACTGCACCACCTCCTGAAATACTATTCCCTTTACATCGATTCAACACTGGAAGTGACCAGTAGTTTGTTATATTTTTTTAATGATCCTCAATAAAACCAGGTCCCCAAGTTGCTCGAGAAGAGAACCAAACTATAAGTGTATTGGGTCTATTGGTTTAGATTCATGGACAAGTAAAGTGGAGGAAGGTAATCATGACGCAGGTAGGCCCCTGTGACCATAATAAGAAATGTGGAATCCACTGCTCAACATTTGGAAACAATTTGAAGGTTTAAGTTGAGGCTGAGGTAAAAAGAACTGAATTAAAGTGCACTAGAAACCAGTTCTTTGTAATGGAACATGCCAAGGCTTTCATTCAGATCTGGTAAAATGAGCAACCCGCCTTTTCTAAATGTTAAGCACCAAAGTGCTTCCTCCTGATACACAGCACACAAGCAGAAGGAAAGGAAAATATGTTGGAAAACCTTTCAGCTAGTTTTTACTAATGCTGAATCCTCTCTTTTGCTGAAAGATGCAGCCACTCTGCTTAGGGAAAGTATGACCATTTTTAATTCATATTTTTGAACTTAAGGATCCATCTTGTGTGACTCATGCAGCATCTGTTATAAAAGATGGAATGGCTGTATGTCTGAAGCAGAAAACCAAATTGCTAGCCTGACGGGAGAGGAGCAGCTCAACATTCTTGGCCCTTCCTAATGCTTCCTAGTATGGTACCTAGAGCTTCTTAGCACTTACTTTTTATACTATGTAATAAATAAGCTTTTGTCTTTCCATATAATCCCACCTTCCTGATGGTATGTTGGTCTTCCACATTTGTATGTATGATCTTTGTGGATTTGATTAAAATGGTCTCTCTGGGAACCTCTAGGCCCTTTGAGCAAAAGTTGACCATTGAGTTGTGCTGGAGGACCTAGACATTCCTAGCATTTTCAGTCACAGTTTTTCATTTTCATGGGGGTCCTGTGCCCCAAACCCAAGCAGCCTAAGTATGGGATCCAGGTACTCAAAAGGGCAGTTTGTCTATCTGCTGTTTTCTCCTTAGGCTGGTGAAAAGCCAGCATTAGAACAGAGGTGCTATGACCCCCTCCACAAAGGCACTGGATGACATGTATTGAAAAGTAAATTAATTTGTTTCAAGTTTTCTATTCAAAAACAGCGCAACAGTGCACTAGGTAACCTGCAAGAGCATACTGTGGGCCCATACTGAGGTTCACATTAAATTGGGAGATGGCACATTCAGCTTCACAGCTTATTTTGAGGTGTGGTTAAATTGGCAGGACACAATAGCAAGCAAAGCTTGAAATGTACTAAAAAGCAAAAATGGGTTCCCAAGTATCCACTATTGGAATAATAATGAGATATTAAATATCATTGAGTACTGTATTATATACAATAATTAGTGTATAATATAGTACTCAATTATATTTAATATCTTGTTACTATTCCAATAGTGGATACTTGTCAATTCAGGACACAATAGCCACATTACTGACTAAAAGCCCTTAAGGCAAAGATGAACCATATTATATCTTTTTTGGGAACCACATTATCAATTTTTAAATTGGGAAGTAAGCATTCAAGTGCACTCTCTCTCACTCTTGTTCTCTCACATAGAGACATCATTTCCTTCTTTCCTCATAAAATGCTCAGCAGCAGGATGAATGGAAAGTGTATAATGAAGTGAAATCGCAACTGTGAATAGGGAGGAAGAAAGACATTAGTTGCCCCCCATTGTAGCTTTCCATCTCCTGCTCCTCACTCAAATCTCCAAATGGGTTGTCACACCTAGCAGATAAGGCTAAGATGTCTCCTGCATAGGACACTACAAAATGGCAAATAGAAGGACAGGGAAGTCAAAAGCAGCGTCTTAACCGATCTCCTTTACTAAACCTTGATTCTGCAGATGTGTTATGTAGGCTTCACACAAAATATCACCCATTATATGAATGTACATCATTTATAATGCCATGTTGTACAAGGGCTTCACTGGGTGGCCCTTTTGTTGAATATGAATGAGAAGACTTGTAGAAACTACTTTGCAAATGTGAAAGATCAAAATATGCAATCCGTCAGGAGGAGACACCTAACACAAGTTCAAGGCTGTCCAAAAGTCACCTGTGACTGACCCACTGGGGGAAATCTACTTTTACACATCCTGGGCTTGGAGACAGCTTTGAAGTTAAGACTTCTTCATATACTACATCACATGACTTTAAAGACAACAAAAAGGCATATATCTATAGACCGAAGCAACTTAAATCTCTGAAAGCAAAACTGGATAATATCACACTTGGCATGATCCCTAAATGGCAAGATAGTGCTAGCACCTCAATTCTATTTTACCAGATCTGAAAGCTCTTCCCTGAAATGCCTTCTGGATGAATAACAACAAGGTGGCCTTAAATACTATCCTAAAGTGACTTGTCTCTTGTGTTTATATTTTCATCAGAAATGGAACAAAGTTTATTTCTCCCATCCCAACTGTGGATTTCCAGAAACATAAAATGATGAAAAAAATGCTGTTCAACAATGTACGCATGCATGCATGCAGGAGCACTACAGTGCATTGATACAATACAGTGAGGAATTCTGGCCTTCGTTGTACGGCAGTAATTTTGCCAAATAGCCTTCCGAATGGATGTAGAGGACTTGCTAGTGAATGTTTTGGACAGTTCATCCCCAGCAGGCTTCACGCCCCTCCAGGGCAGTTGGTATTGTATGTACTGTTATGTGTGATCAAGTCTTAAAATAGGGAAGGCTATATAAATTTTCAGAGAAGCCACAAACAGCATCTTCATTTTAAATTACAACAAAAGGGATTTCAAAAAATACACCCGGTTTATTTCCTCCAAATGGATTAAATACCCTTTTCTTCTTTTTTTCTAAAAAAAAAAGTCTTGCAAAATATTTTGCTCATCCATCTACACCCATCCATTCCTCATAAAAAGAATTCAAATACATACATGAAATAGAGGATTTTTTTCCTACATAGTTATATTCGCAAGGCAATCAGTCCTTCTTGGCTGGCCTTTTTACCTCCAGATGCTCTGCTTTGTCGGTATGACTGCAAGACACACAAAAATAAACGAAGTGATCCCATTATGATGGCTCAGTATTTGATAAAATGAGAAGATGACAACAGAGAGTGGAGAGAAAGAACTTAGTCCATGCAATTCACTTTAAACAAAAACACTGACATACCCAGTGTTCACAACGGCTTGATCTATTTGAAATGAATGCAGATGTTTGGTAGCTTCTAAATAAATGTTAAGTATGTGACAGGAGGATGCAAAAAGGGTTATCTTAGATGCATCATCACAATGCTGAAATCCACACAATATCAAACACAAGCATAGTCATCTAGAAGAAAGCAAGGCCATGTTTCAGTTCTCATAGGTTCCCATGATTGAAAATGAGTAATAGGCTAACTTTCTCAAAAAGCATCCACAAAATTTAATACAAAACCATGGCCAATCAGAAACAATTTGAGGAGATCTGCTTGATTTAACAAAACAGCCATAAGACAGATGAAAGGGAAATCAGATAAATATACAGATGTTATAGCATAACAGAAAACTGAAGGGTTCCCGGTTTGAAAGTGTTATTTCCATTTAATTGCGTGGTACTTACTTTGAAAGTAGTTGTTATACTCTAGAAAGTTTGTTTTTGTGGCTAACACAAACTAGGTTGAATTGGCTAAGACTCAATGAAAAACTATAGCAAAATGTGCTGTGGGATGTCCCACAGAAACAAAGTTTTTGAAGTTTAATAAACTTTTTCCATGTATTTATGACAGAACCAATTAGGAAATAAGATTTATATCCCAGGAACAAAAATTGTGTTACGTAGTGTAATAAGAATAAAGAATCCAAATCCATGAAAAATGTTTATCAGACACATAAACACAGTCTGGGGTCGGTTACTCCAATTTTGAGGATTTGGCTTTTCCCCATCCTTCTTATGGGCCCAGTCAAGGAGAATAAACAAAGAGATCCTGCTGGGATATAAAGAGACCGAAAGAGAAGCATGGGAGTTCCTTTGTTATTGTAGTATTTCTGCATCCACTTAAATGATTGAACTTTGCCCAGGGGGAAAAAAAAGAGAGCTGGAGGGATATCTGTTTGGAGAGGGGGGAAATATTTAGAGCAGGATGCTTAGTCCATCATCTATTTTGAACCAACCAGACCATGACTTAAACAGTAAGCCCACTGCTCATTCCTTTCAAGGTCACTGCACTAATTCCATATGCTGGCTTTGAACTGAGAAGTTAAAAATGGAGACAATTTTTTGTGCACAAAATCTTTTGGAATAAACATATTGTCCCTGAGCTGATTTAAATACTTCCTATGGACTCTTGCGACCTGCAACTCCACTGTAAAAGGCCTCCCTTTCACTTCCTGTACAGCACCTGATTTTATTTGTCTAAAGGCCTGAGGAGTTGGGAACTGAACCTTAAAACTGTACAGATCATCCTGGGTATGCTCTTAAGTATTATGTTTCATATCTTCATGAGAGTAAAACACCCCTTGCCCCCTATTTGATGAAACTGTACAGGAAAAACAAAGTTTAAGATAGTGAGGCACACATTGTGTATGAAGAACAAAAAACAGGAGGGGAGGGGGGAATCCTATTGCCATAAATTCTGTTAAGAGTCCAAGTAGTTAATCCAAGTGTGAAACTAATTTCATGCACATGGCAATTATCTTTTAGTAAGTTTTAAAATCTGCTTGATTGTGCAAGCACCCTCAACTGAATAAGCAACAGTGAGAAAACTAAACCAATAGTTCCCAAACAAGAAACCATCCTGCAAGCAGCCAGATTGTTAACTGGCAAACATCTGTCAACATCCCATCCTCCACCTGGCATGCAGTTAATGGGCCACATCCAGACTTGGTTCTGGCCTGCAATTTCAGACCCTAGAAGCAATGTCCAATGATTCTGCCTACTTCTGTTCTCAACCTGGTTTCCCTTACCTTTGGTAACTGCAGCTCCTGATAGTTTTGCAAGGGAAGCAAACCACAACTGTTCTACAGAAGGACAGAAAGGAAGAGAGAAAGACTGGGAAGCCGAAGAAATTGCACACTCCTTGCAGGCGAAAATTGTCTCCAGCAGAGCAAGGTTAGAACATGAGCAGCACTGCTTGGCAAGACCAGGCATTAAGCACACCAGAGGCTTAGACCAGTTCAAACATACACACCCTCGGGGTTCAAGCTGGACACCAGGGGGTTCTGGAGGTTCCGCGGATGGCCAAGGAAGTGCTTGGCTGTGGCTCGGGGAGGCGAGTTGGAGAGATCTGAAGAAGACAAACACATGACAGTTCAGTCCACAAGAAACTCACTTCTCCAATCAGAAGAGCCTGCCTTTTCAGCAGCAACAATTCAAAATGCATTTACTTAAAGCTGCACTTTAGTGAAGCAAGCATACCCTTACTTTCCCACTCAAACAGGGCAATCTCTTATAAATAAGTATCTTAGCAACAATATCCAATAGTGTTGAGATTCAAAATCCACAGAACAATATCCAAACTGTAGCCAAGTTAACTGTTCTTTGACAGGCAGCACTATAGATTTCTGAAGAAGTTTCTACTGCTGACTGATTGCTTCTTTTGCCAGGTAATTTCAAAGCATTTTCAAAGGAAGCAATTTAACTAACTGAGCACCATGAACTCCGGTTTTAGAGGTGCCAAAAGTTACATTGCAACTCATGGCCAGAAAATGGTATAATAGCACAGCATGAGAAATGGGTCTCCTGTCTCCCCTCCTCTCTTCTCCACCCATTCACTTGATTTGTGTTCCAACCTCCATTTCTCTGATGAACTGGCAGCTCAGGGTTAGTGTGATCCAGCTGGGGTTCTGCCTCTGATCTGGCCTGTGGAGCAGTCACCATGGCTCCTGTCTGCTGGATGAACTGCTGCAAGTTACACTGCCTCAGCTCCTTATTTAGCTCCTCCAGCTCTTGGTTCTGAGCCTGCAAGACAGAGAAGGAACAGGCAGGGTGAATGCCAAAGCTATCTGCATTTGTGATCAGACACTGCGTAAGGAAGACTTCTGATTCCATCCCAGCCCCCTGTCAAAAGTTAACAAATGTATCTCTATTGCTCAACTATGAATAGAAATCTTCTAGAAATTATGGATAACGTTAAATGTTTTAACTTGCATTGATTTTAATTCTTAATTTAAATGTTTATTTTAATTGTTTGTGTCTTAAGACATTAAATGGTTGCCTATATATAAAGCCACCTTGAGTCCCCTTTGGAGTTGAGAAAGGTAGGATATAAATAGGGTAAATAAAATAAAATAAAATAAACAGAATGTTAAAGAAGCAGGTATAATGATAGCTGTTACTCACCCATTCCAAAAACCAAGGAGCTATTTATTTATTTATTTATTTATATAAATCATTTATATTCTGCCCTTCTCACCCCAAAGGGGACTCAGGATGGAGCACAACATACAAACGGCAAACATTCAATGCCGGGACATGAATAAATTATATGCATACATCAACTTTAAAAACATTTGTCCAAACAATTAAAATACACTTTTTAAAACCGTTTCGATCGTCTGCATCAAATCTAATTGGTCTGGTAAGATTTCCTATTGCTGCTTTATTGCATTATCCTGAAAGCTTGGTCCCACAGCCAAGTTTTTACCATCCTTCTCAAGGACTGGAGGGAGGGGGCTGATCTAATCTCACCAGGAAGGGAGTTCTATAGCAGAGGGGCAATTGCCTCCAGTTTCTTTTTACGCTGAAGTCTGTATCTACTAAAAGCCCAACATTTAGTGTATGTGTATGAATGTTACGGACAGAACTCCAATGTACATCCACCAGCTTTAGGAAATTGGTTCCAGGTTACCAAAATGTGTAAGTCTGCTATACATTATTTTGCACTTCCCCCCAAGCACACTTTTACATTCCACAAATGTCTCCATCCCCATCTGGTGGGATGATAAATTTCCCTGTTCTTTCCCAAACTGGCTGAACTCCTTACTCCTCCTGGCCTGAGGTCACATTTACTGGCACAAGAAGGAAAGCTGGCATAGTCTTGCCCTTTTCCTGATGCCCTGAATTTTAAGTAAACCAGCCACTGTCCATCTTTCAGTAAGACTGAGAAGAAACAAAACCACCAGGAAAGAATTAAGGGGCGGGGAGGGGGCGGTTCTGCTAGTTTCTCTGTGTTGGTCAGGCAAAGAAGAGGGGAGATTCAGGGAATGCCCACCACCTGCACAAATAAATGTCTTAGTGAAGCATATTTCATTTCTTGTACAGTCAGTCTTCAACATTAGGTGGTTAGGGGTACCAGACCTCCATGAAAGAGAAAAACTAAAAATAAATAAATTGCTACTTTTTGAAAATCTGAGCAAAAACTGCTTTTGGAATTGCAAGGTTTTCTATGACTATGGTCAGGGGCGGCTCGTCCATTACGCGAAGTAAGCGGTCGCAGAACACTTTTTTTTGCCAGGGGCGCAGAGGCGCCTCTGTAAATGCCCCTCGACCACCACTTGAGGAGCGCCCCCTCAGCTCACAACAGCCCTAGCAGTCCGGGGGGAGCCTCGGCTTTCTTGCCTCGCTGCCGGGCGATCCTCTTCCCAAAGGGGCCGGGCCCTTGAGCCTCGCCTCGCCCCTCTCGTTCCTGCTCCACCCGGCCACCGGGTGCGCGAGCAGAGCCGGCGCTCAATCGTTCTCCGCGTTCGATCCCTTCCCCATGACCGGCTCCCTTTCCTGATCCCCCAGCGCTCCACCCGCCTCCTCTCCTCTCCCCAGGTGGGCCAAGGGGCGGAGCCGCCGCACCTGGCCTGCTTCGGGTCCGGAGGCGTGTCTGAAGACCCCAGCGTGCGCACCAAAAGTCGCCTCTTCTCCTGACTTCTCTTCAGCCATTGGGACCAAGAGAGAGAGAGAGAGAGAGAGCCCCTCCGGCTGGAGGTATCTCCCACCTCCGCTCCCTCCTTTGTTTTTGCGCCTACCTTCAGGAAAGGTGGGCATCTCCACCTCTCTCTCTCTCTCTCGGTCCCAATGGCTGAGGAGAAAGTCAGGAGAAGAGGTGACTTTTGGTGCACACGCCGGGGTCTTCAGGCACGCCTCCGGACCCAAAGCGGGCCAGGCAAGGGAGCAAGTGCGGCAAGTGTAGTTACTGGGATGTATAGTTCACCTACAATCAAAGAGCATTCTGAACTCCACCAATGATGGAATTGAACCAAATATGGCACAAAGAACTCCCACGATGAACAGAAAATATATATCAATGATTGGTTTGGGGGGGGGGGGGGGCCAAAATACTGTTTGCTTACCGTTGAAAATTACCTAGGGCCGGTTGTCCCTCTAAGGCAGTGGTTCTCAACCTGTGGGTCCCCAGATGTTTTGACCTTCAACTCCCAGATATCCTCACAGCTGGTAAATTGGCTGGGATTTCTGGGAGTTGTAGGCCAAAACACCTGGGACCCACAGGTTGAGAACCACTGCCTTAGATATATTAGATGCAGTTCTCTTTAAATGTGTGGCAGAGGTTCTCAACCTGTGGGTCCCCATGTGTTTGCTGACAACTCCCAGAAATCCCAACGTTTACCAGCTGTTAGGATTTCTGGGAGTTGAAGGCCAAAGCGTCTGGGGACCCACAGGTTGAGAACCAATGGTCTAGATCCTCCAGCACGACTGAATAAAGGTCATCATAGAGTCATACTGGAAGACCTAGAAATTCTTTTAAAAAGTTTTAAAATAACTCAATGAATAATCAAATCTGCAAAAGTAAAAACCACAAATATGGACAGAGAATGATACTAATTATTATTGACCATAATAAAGTGAACACTGAACAATGATACTAAGACATTTGAGCATCAATTCCTCAAAAGGTCTAGATCATGACCCAAAAGAAATCAAAAAGACATCAGACATTTCAACATCCAGAGGGCCTTGAACACACAAAATAAATCTAATCTGAGAATTGACTTTATCGGCATAAAACATCTGCTGACAAAGAAACCATCTTGGTTATCACAAAGGCCAGCTCAGTGCTAGTACAGTCTATTGGGAGGGCCATTTCTATTGAAATTCAGCAAGAAAGAATATCCTAAATATGTTTTTGGATCACTGAATTGCAAACATGAAGCATTGTATCATAGAAACCTTGGCCAGTTTAGGATTTACATAATAAAGGCTAAGATTTTAGGAACATTTCCTTGGACAACAATTCAAGGAAACCAATCTGTTTAGAATTAGTGTGTTGGCCTGTTACAAGCCTGTTCTACTGCATTCTTATCTTCTCATAAACGAGGTGTAATAATATTTAAATACAAGGGAGTACAAATGATGGTACATGCTGGCCTACTATGATGATTAGAGAACCATCTGACAAATCAACACTTGTAGTTCATTGTTCTAATCCTGACAGTGCCTCAAGGAGGCAGTCTAACCATAATGCAAAATACTACATGTGGATTGCAGTGAACAAAATGTTACCACATAATAACTGGATGAAACCAAGAGTCACAAAGAATGTAAAATATAAGCACCCGGCTCAAATTAAAGTATTCCTGCATGCATAGTTTCTGGAACTGCATTTAAGTGACAATGGTTTTGCATGTTACTTTTGTCTCCCATTGTCTGGAATTATTTTAACAGGTTGTACAAAGTGGCCTAAAGACATCCGATATGGAATCCACCATAAATTGACAGGTGGCCCTGCAGAGGTGTGCTCTCTTCCACACACACAGAGAGATCAGTCATCGCGTCATTCTAATAGGCAAAAGTACACAGAGTGTTTATTTTCCTCGGCCATAAGAGGGCACCTGTGCCTAGTATACAGTCGAAGGAAGGCAGCCAGAAAAGAAGGGGAAAGGGTTATCTAAATCAAGCAAAGCATAACAACAGGGGAAGAAATATAAAGATTAGGAGATACATGCAAACTGAAACAAAATGCAGCCAGAATTCAAGCACACTTTCCAGACGGATTTCTTATAGCTGGAAGAAAATGGGTAGCACACTGCTTGCGAAATGTTTTTAGAGTGAAAACTGTTGTCCCTCTCAAAACAAACTTTGCCCCCTCTGCTTCTGCCTCAGTGTTTATGGGCCAGCTTACTCTGAGGATAGAGCAAATTCAGCTTGTACTGCTGTGGTATTGGATAAAACATGGCTTGTACAATCACACCTTAGAATTTCCTGCCTCCTGCAAACTCCTGACAAAACCAGAAAAGGGAAGCATTCAGAGATAAAACACGCAGCTTCTGCTTCGGGGGATAACTTTGGATTAACAGAAAACCAATTTTTGTTTTAGCAATTACTTTATAGTGTGCCTATCACACATTTTGAAAAGAGATTTTTCTACTGTACTAACAGCAGGTGCATTTTGATATTGGCAACAAGTAGCATTTATTATTATTTTATTATCTGATATTAATATTGTTCCAAAGCAATGTTCTTTTTATCATAAGGAGGCCTTAGTGCTACATTGCATATGAAGATCAAGTATGCCTATTCAATACATCCATATGCTTCCATTCTTGAAAAGGTTTATAATTGCGTCACATCCATGCACATAAGCCTTATAGCACAAAGCTAACATTATGATTAACTAGTCCTTCTCTCCTATTTGGCAGAGAAGAGCTTTTAAGTCCTTTGGGCAGGATCGTGATCCTGGAAGATGCCAGTCACTGGGGCTTCATACCAGTGAAAGCACATCATAATCTTCCTGGGAAGACTCTTCAATGAAGCAGAACAGAAAACAACCAGGAGCTTCGTGCCAAGAATGTGTCATGTTGGCCGAGTCCCAGACCATTCAGCATTACTGTGGGATCAACTCCCATCTGTCTCTACTGCAACAGCCACACATTCTGCTGTGGCTTTCCAGGTTTATAATCCAATAGCTTCCAGGACCCATCTAGTGTACTGCTATTTGCCAGAAAAAGCTGAATTTCCAAAGATTTCAGGCTGCCAAAGAGATCACAATGCTTTATATCCTTATTCTATGACTCCATCTTCCCAGCAGGAGTATTTCACCCCTTTTTTGAATTGATTGTTTGGTATTTGACTAACAGACAAATCTTTTCAATTGCCCATTCAATCACATGTATTTGTGGTCTCTTTAGGATTGCAAAACAAATATAAGTAACATTTCAACTGGTCCAGAAAGCTGCTGCCAGTTTGCTACCTGGCCCTGGCTACAGAGAGCACAACATTCCCTTACTGGAACCTCTCCGCTGGCTGACAGTCATTTCTAGGTCCAAGCCAAAGTACTGGTTTTAGTCTATAAAGCCCTATAGAGTTCAGGTCCTGGTTATTTGAAAGACTGCATTGTTCTTTATGAATCTGCCAGTGCTCTGAGCAATTCTGGAGAGATCCTTCTCTCTATCCCATTACCCTCATAGGTACATCTGATGGAAACACGGGAGATGGCCTCCTGATCCCACAGGCTCTGAAACCCTCTTTCCAGAGAAGTTGCATTGGCACCCTCCCAACTTTCTTTTTGCATTACTGTTTCAGTAGGCATTTGATAATTGATTGTATAAGACCATCCTATCTAAAAAAAATGTGTTGAACTTGGCTATTTGTGGTGCCAGTGAGTGTGTGTCTATTATGAATAGTTTATGCTTTATTTTCTTCATTATTTAATCTTTTACATTTTGTGAATTTTAATTGCGGTATGTGTTTCTAAATCAGATGTAAGCTGGGGAAAAGGCAAGGTAGAAGTAACACCACCACTAACAGACACCTTCTCAAGAACTAGAGGTAGGGTAGAGAGTGGTTAAATTCAACTGCATTCTATAACATTTAAAAGTATAGGCTGCAAGTGTATGTCTATGAATCCTTCAGAAAGGTGTGTTATTACTGAAGACATACCTGAAGGCTTTGTTCTGTCTCTTCCAAGGCCTTCCCCACCATGCTCAGGCTGCTCTCCAACTGTGCACTCTGCTTGGCTTTGGCATCCAGTTCCTTCTTCATTTTAGCAGCCATCTCTTCCAGCTCGGCAGGGTTGTGAGAGGGGGCATCCTTTGCCCTCTTGGTCCTCTCAGCAATTTCCCACTGGATCTCCCTCTCCAAGACCTCAGTTTTTGCCATGAGCTCGTGGATTTTCTGTGTGCACTCCTCCATGGTGGCCTGCAGGCTGTGAACTTTCTCCTGGCGCTCTCTTTCCCCCGTCTTCTCGGCATGCAGTTCATTTTGCCAAAAGTCTTCTTCGCTCAGCTCATTCTCATTCTGCCGGATCACTTGCTCTAGATGTAGTATCTCCTCCTCCAGGTGAGAGCCCCTGCTGGACTCCCAGTGCCTGAGGTCTATTTCCAAAGCATCCCTCTGCCTATCCAGGGAGTAGAGGTGCTCCTGTTGGTGCAGCACCGTCTTGAACAGCTCCTCTTTGGACAGGAGACCCCCGCTTGCACCATCCCTCAAGCCCAGAGCAGCATCCTTTCTGTGCTGCCTCAACTTGCTTTTGGCAAGTGACTCACTGGAGGCCACGGAACCCAAGTTGAACGTTAAGGATTTTTTGGGTGGCCTGGCCCTGGGCACTTCTGTGCTGAGTGGCCGAGGTTTGATGGGCAGGCTGGCTCTGACAAACGTCCTCTCAGGTACCTGGGGGGCACTGTCTGAAGAAGGCCTTTCTGTAAGGCTAGGGCCTGTGCGCTGAAGTATAAACTGTACGTCATTGGCATACTGTCCGCACTTGGCCAGTGCCTCTACAGGGCATTCATGGGGGAGAAGCTGTCTCTCTTTCTCTCGTAGTCTTTGGATGAGAACATACCGACCTGTTTGACCTGAGAAGAGAGAGGAAGGCATTACTTGGGTGGGGAGCGGGGGTGGGGGGAAGCTTCATTAACTACCACTTGAACCAGCTATCTCCAGCCAGCTGTATTCAGTTCACATTCCATAGTAATATGCTCCAAGTTCATTACACCTAACAGCTGAATACTTTTGGGGGTGGAGGTTAATCACTCATGAAGCAACCTGTGATCAGCTATGCAGTTAAGAAGTCATGCCAATGACCCTCAATTCCTTCTATGCAGCTCTCATTCCTTTTTTAAAGTTCAGGTAACATAGTTTTAGTCCACATGGAACATGAAAATAATGCAAATAATTCCCAGTAAGAGTTGGGGTTAACAGTGGGAAATACAGAAGGGTCAATGGATTATTTCTCCATCAGAAACTGTTGCAATGTAGAAAGTAGGCTGCCTACTGAGGTCAGCCTTTTCTCTCAGGATCAGACATAAATTTCACAAAACCTCCTCTACATTTATAATTCAATTATGATTACTGGAAAAGGAGCTGGGAAGTATTTCACATATAGGTTAATAGCAAATACAGCATCTTCTCCTGCATCCTAAGGAGTTTCATTTGGTGTGCAAGACAGGCTAGCAACATTGTTAAGGCCTGCTAAAAAAAGGCACTTTTGGAAATAATGTTGATGGAATGGTCCACTTAAGGGCATAAACCACAAAAATAATTAAACACATCAATAATCTTCATAAAGTTCAGAACTATATTAGTCCCTTTTTGGGGGATGGGACAGAGGAGAGGACAATAGTATATGCTAAATATAAAGACAATGTGTGTGTGTGTGTGTGTGACCCATCAACTTCATGAGTTTTGTAGGGTTTTCTTAGCAAGGGATGCTCAGAGGTGGTTTACCAATTTCTTCCTCTGAAATATAGTCAATATCACTTGGGATACATTGACAGTTCCCATCCAAGTCCCGCTTAGCTTCCAAGATCAGACAGGATTTAACGGCCTCAAGGCATTTAGGCTGTTATAAGGATAATATTACATGTAGGGCACTTCCACACAGCCCTATATCCCAGAATATCAAGGTTTGAAAATCCCACAATATCTGCTTTGAACTGGGTTATCTGAGTCCTCACTCAGATAATGTGGGATTTTCTGCCTTGATATTCTGGGATATAGGGCTGAGTGGAAGGGCCTGTAGAGTATCACTTATTCTAAAGACTTGTCATCAGAAGTATTTTGGGGTGTTTCAGATTTTTTGAATATTTGCATATACATCATGAGTTACTTCAGAGATGAGACTCTGAATATAAAATTCATTTAATTTCTTATATACCTTATGCATATAGGCTGAAGGTAATTTTATATACCCTTTTAAATATATTTTTTGTGCATAAACAAAGTGTGTGTGCATTATATCATCAGAAAGCACAAGTGTCATTATCTCACATCTACCCATGTGGACAATTTTGATTTTGGAGCATTTTGGATTTCATAATTCCAGATAAGAGGTGCTCAGCCTGAATTTGATTTAAAAAAATAGAAAGAAAAAAGAAATTAAAAATATTATACTATGGCGATATTGCCTCTTAAAGCCCCCTTTCCCCCTTCAAAATGTCCAAATGAGAAGTTTCATATCCTTGTAACATTGCAAATGGTATCTGAGATGTTTTTTAAATTCCAATAACATTTTTTTTCTTGCTGTAGGCTCTTGGGGGCATTTTACTGCATGAACCCGAAACCCCCTTGGACAAAGTTATCATTAGCAAGAGTCCATGAACTAGCAGTTCCAATGATTTTCAGCAGAAATTCAATAAGCATTAAGGCAGTTGCCTTAAAAGCCCTGATGAATTTTTACCAGCTCACAGGATATTCACATAAGATGTAATTGAAACCCCTGGACTGCAGAGTCAGGACGGAAGTACCCCTAATTCTAGTTAGAGGGCAAAAGTTAGTGCAAATTTTGCTTACCACTCTGGGAGTGTTTCCACATCACAAAGCAGAATAATCCCTCTCCCTTTGCCTGAAGTGACTCTATCAGAGCTGATGTGCCATTTATTATAGTCAAAGGGGGAAAACATGCACACTCTGGCATTATGAGTCACGCTTGTATGCTGCAGATGGAAACTATGGCAGTGATCTGACCATGGAAAAGCAGCCCAATCTTTGGAATGGGAAGGGACAAGCAACACCCAAGGCTGTTTTGCATGACAAGGACTTAATGATTAAACACCAGCGCTGCCCCATCACATTAGCACATCACTCATATTGGACTCAGGACATTGTGTTACAGGGAATCTCAGTTGCTTGTTTTTCTGTGGACTCAGAGACAAAGAGGGAAAAAATATGAGCCTTCGCCAATCAAATAGCCCAGCTACAATTGGGAATCCAGAAGCGGGGGCAGGGAGGTGCACAAATATTAGGTTTTTTAAAATCAGTCAACCAATACTTCTTCCCACTAGACCCTTCCACCTTCTGGCATGGGTAAAGTATGCCAGGAAATGACTGAGATTTCTCTCATTAGCACTAACATATGGAGAATAACGAAACAACAGGGATTTCTCTGACTGTTTCTTACCTTCTCCAAACAGCAACACGGGAGACCATTGGGAAGACTGCCACAGGGCCTTCCCACCATGAGAACTTGTTCAGGGCAAGCAGGAAAGACAACAAGGGCGATTCCTTTCCCTCTGCTGTGAGACCGGCTGCCTTGCCTCTCCTGCAATGGTCACTTGGCAGTAGCCATTTTGCAAAGCTAAACCAGCTGGCTATTATAAAATCTATAAACCAAACTTGCTTTTTCCCTCTTAGCTCACTAAACCTTATTCCTTACGCACTGTCTTAAATTCAAATTGTCATATTGAGAGCAGGGACCACTTTTACAATTCAAATATGGGAAAGCTTTTGACTAAATGACAGTCTAGAAACACATAAAAGAAATAATATTGAGGATACTGGTGCATATACTTTATTAAAAAGTTGTCACACACAGGGCCAGCCCCAGGTAATTTTCAAGTATAAGCAGGGGTGCCTCAAGAGCACCTCTCGGGGATTCGTGCCATGTGCAAATGCATATCTTGCCTATTGCTTCAACCACCCCTGGTCACACAACTGAGAAAGATAAATTCTGTTAACAGCCCTTTCACATTTCACAGTTATAGTACTATGAATCTGCTTTCACTGTCAGTGTTCCAGCCTATGGAATCCTGAGATATGCAGTAAGGAAATGGAGAAGAGGCTTGTGTGCTTGATGGGTAGAGGTTAGAATCATAGAATCATAGAGCTGGAAGAGGCTTCGTGGGCCATCCAGTCCAACCCCCTGCCAAGAAGCAGGAAAATCATATTTAAAGCACCCCTGACAGGTGGCCATTAACTTCTGCTTAAAAGCCCCCAAAGAAGAAGCCTCCACCATAAGTTAAAGAAAAAACTTTTGAGGATGCTGATAGGAAGTTGTTTTTTTAAAAAAAAAGAAAAGAAGAAGCTTAATTACTGCCGGAGATTTGGAGTTGACTGAAGAGGGTAGGCAGGTGTGAAAGAGAGGAGGAAAGGAATACTGGTATGAGAAAAAAAGACAGATATAATTGACTAGGTGGCTATTTATGTGGAGTATTTCAGTATTGTTCCTATAATAGCACTGGCATGTGGTAACTTATTCCTAGAAGGTTTCCCACTAGGGAATGCTGAACCCTTAGAATAAATACTCCCTAGAATTGCTTTACATAAAAGAAAAATCTCCTTTCTCACAACAATTGGTTAGGGAAACAAGGTCTATTTCTCTGAAAGAAGGACACTGTGTAGCACTTTTGGTCAGGGTGACCCTGAAGATAAATGTGCGTCACTGATTGACCATAGAAAGACAATGCAGGCAAATATGGCCCTTGTAATGCCTGATATTACCTTTGGCCCAGTGTCAGGAAGGAGAAACTGGTATGACACAGAGTAAGTTTTGCTACAACACATGTTTTTAACAATGCAAATTGGTAATAACACCATTAGTTAAAATAACACAAATACTTGGTTAGCTATAGCATGATTCCATCAGGAGCATTCCTAACTATGGCCAGGACTATGATTGCGGATAATGTGGTTTATAGTAATAATTGTAATGTTTTAAATGTTTTAATGTTTTCTAATCTTGTTTTAATTTTTTAATTGAAATGTTTATTTAATTGTATATTGGATGTATATTGTTTTTAAGGCATTGAATTATTGCCTATGCTGTAAGCTGCCTTGAGTACCCTTCGGGGTTGAGAAAGGTGGGATATAAATATAGCAAATAAAATAAAAATAAATTCCAAATTGGAATTTTTCTGCATCACAACTGGCAACCCCATCTCCCATCAGCCCTTCTGTTTGTCAATAGTATGGGTTTGAGAAGTGAGGAGCTGAATGGGGTGATTGGAAAGAGGATGTGGGAATATTTGTGAGAATTAGATGTTAAGCTAGGAGTGGCTGAGATTGGTGGGAGTGAATTTATATGGAATGCGATTTTAAATTGGGACTTGAGTGAGTGTGCTGGATGGAAGGAGGAGGATGGAGCATTTGCAAGCGGGAGATTTCTGTTCCTCTCCATCTGTGACTAGGGTGTCAGCATGAAAACTGGAAAGGGTTCCTATAACCTTGGTAATGCAAAAGAGAGAAGTTCAGTAGGCACTGATTGTTGCATGACAAGCAGGGCCTGCTGAAATTCCCTCTTCCAGGGTTGAGCTACAGGCTTAGACTGAAAAGTAAAAGATTACTTACCAATGGCACGTGCCAAGGCTATGACAATCTCCTGGCAAGTGGTCTGATCTGAGACACCACATACCACCCTCTGGACACCATCCACCCAGACCTTCAGCTCCATCACCAAAAATGCAGAAGATTAGGCTTTCCAGATCATGGCTGTGAGTCTTCCCTGCAGAGACATTTAAAAGAAACATAAGTTTAAGTTTATGTTCCCTGACTTCATTCTCAGACGAGTATTCCAGTCTGCTTCAAGAGAATGAACATTAACTGAAAGTGATTAGGAAGGTTAGGGATTCTGATATCTGTCCTATTACCCCCTCCCACAATTTCTATTCTGTCTGTTCTAACACAGAGATTTGGTTTGAGTCACATATTCCTCTGGTTGAAAGGCTATGACCAGGGGAGAAATGATGTGCTCTTCAGGTGCATTTTCCTAGACCAATAGTTTTCAACCTTCTTAATGCCACAACCGCTCAATAAACTTCCTCATATTGTGGTGACCACCAACTATAAAATTATTTTCATTGCTACTTCATAACTGTAATTTTGCTACTTTCTATGAATTGTAATGTAAATATCTGATATGCAGGATGTATTTTCATTCACAGGACCAAATTTGGCACAAATACCAGATACGCTCAAATTTGAATCCTGATGGGGTTGGAGGGGGCACTGATTTTGACATTTGGGAGTTGTAGTTGCTGGAATGTATAGTTCACCAACAATCAAAGAGCACTATGAACCCCACTAACAATGGAATTGGACCAAACTTCCCACACAGAGCCCCCATGAGCAACAGAAAATACTGTGTTTTCTGATGGTCTTTGGTGGCCCCTCTGACCACCAAACCTTGCAACCCCTCCAGGAGGCCCCCCGACTCCCAGATTGAGAAATGCTATCCTAGACCATCTAAACCATTCTTTTGGGGAGGATATATAACCATGATAGCTGACCTCTCTAGACAGGTCAGCAATACTACCCTCCACCCCCAACTCCAGAAACCAATATACTTGTGTAGCTAAATACAGTGATCCTGCCTGTGTTCATGCTTGGCTTCCCAAAGACAGGCTGCACCAGGTGGCTTATACCAATGAAGAGTAACAAGTTTAAAGCATGGCCCTATTTCGTAACCATTTAGTCATTGCATGAGCACAATTGCCAAGGTGTAGTCAACCAGAATGAGAGAACTGACACGAGTTCAGAAAGTGTGCTCAATTTTAGAGACTACCCTAGCTCAAAAAAGTGGAACAGCTGCCAAAGAGCTTATAAACAACCTTGAAAACACAGGTACAATGAATTTAACTCATATTTGCTGTTGTGTAATATGGAAATCAATGATGTCTTCAATCACATGACAAGTCATCTAATCAGCAGCCCAGAGAATGAGTAAGTCATACAGCCTGAATCATGCGGGTATCAAATAAATATTTATATCAGGCTATGTGCTAGAAACTGAATGATTAACTAGAAACTGAACGATTGACTAAGAGAACAGCAGATACTACTGTGCTCTGTTCATTCTTTTCAGAAACCGCCTGAGTGAAATGGTATGACACATACAACAAAACAGCTTTTGCTCTTTCTTCTTCTCACTTCCAGTAGGTAATCAACATCAATACGTATTCCTTTTAATATTGTTATTGTTTAACATGTTGATGTAATTTCACTTGTATTTGTGTTTTATGGCACTATTAGGTACTTCCTGTAAGCTGCCAGAGTCTTTTTTGGGAGATGGTGGTGGGATACAAATAAAGATTATTATTATTAAGCAGAGAAATGTCAGCCACTTAAAGAAGAAGAGAAACGTGTATCTTCTGTTTCCTTAACGTGCGTGTAAAATGTTACATGGATATTGAGAAGAAAGCAAAGCAGCTTATAATGGGCAGGCCCGTAGCCGGGGGGGGGGGGGGGGGGGGGGGGGGGGCACTTGGGGGGTTTCAGCCCCCCCCCCCCCGAAATTCTCAGGGTGGTCCGCGAGAAGGCCTTACTGGTACATTATTTAAACTGTTATGTTTATTCATATCATGATCTGATCACCATGCTCAATATATCCCATATGCATGGGGGCATTAGGATAACGATACAAAAGGTTTGCTAGGGTAGATCCTGAGCCCCCCCCCCCCAAATCAAGCCCAGCCCCCTCCCCCCAAATCAAAATCCTGGCTATGGGCCTGATAATGGGCATTCCTTCTCTAAATAATTTTATACATGGAAGAGGTCAAGCTTTTAGGCAGATCATGCTCATGATTAATCAGAGATCAAAGACCAAGCTGGTAAAATGAAAAAGAAGCTTGTCACCATTTCAAATAAGCTGAAGTAATATTTGTTATCCTCAGTAAACAGACATTTGCTTGCACTCAACTGGGGAGGGCCACACTGATTTAGACTGAGGGTAACAAAAGCATATACAGCAAGAGATTTATGGGGAAAGATTCCCAGTAAGCATGCTAGGAAGGCATATGTTGAAATTTAGTTTGAATAGACAAGTAAGGTATGTTGCAAACTGGTGACACATTTATGGCCATCCTCTTAAAGGATTCCACTCTCTGAATGTCTGGAATGGGGACCCTTTCCACCCTGGAGCCAAATATGCCCTCCTGAAGTCCTGTATCCACCCTTCTTGGATTCTCCATCCCGCTTTCTCTCTTATTTTGGTTTCCCGTTTCTGTTATAGATTTTTCCCATTTCAAAAAGGTTAAACTGTCCTTCCTGTCACTTAGTTATTTTCAGTAACATCTTTAATAGCAAAAGAGCAGAAACGATTTTATCCACCAGACAGTCCTTCACCTAACTTTAGACTTGGTCATTTCTAGCCTGAAATAGATCTCCGGGCCTTTTAAAAATAACCTTCACAACTATTTGTAAATCCCCAGTAATTTGGACACTTCGCAAGCCACGGTAATGAAAAATAACATCTTGCAATACTGATAAGAGATAATAAAATATCACAATAATGTGCAAGATGGAAATATGCTGTTGAATTGGCCATTGGTTTTACCTCTTGATGAGAAAGGAGATTTTTTTCTCAGCAATGCAATGATAACTTTATCATTTGTTCAATTCAATGATAAATTTGTTTCAGTTAGTGAGGTTTTTAAAAGGGACCACCTCCTTTAAAATGTCAGACAAATGTATGATGCAGACAAATTCACTTGAGTTCTTGTTTTCCACAGACAGGTGTCAACAAAACATTTCAGGTACAAATAGCATTGTGCAAAGTAATTATTTACTGATTCATTATATTTGTGTGGTGTAAGGCATCAAGTGGTTCATATTAAAAGTATGAGCATTGCATTCACCAGTTTTGAATAAAGACTGAAATAATAAAATAACTTTTTAATATACCAATTTCTATGAAAACACCATCCATTTTGACACATTTATATGAAAACAAGGACATTCCTTTACATTACTGGACAGAGCAGGGGCAAAGAACAGCAGCTTAACCTGGTAAACAAAGAGTGCAGTCTGCCCAGCTAACCTAGACTAAACCTAGACAAGCATTATTCGTTCATGCAATATTGCATGAATGGATAAAGCCCTACTATCTGCTCCAGAAAACCTCCATGAATACCATACTCAATGGATGCTCAGTAGTAGTAGTTGTCGTAGTAGTAGTAGCAGCAGTAATTATAATAATGATAACAATAATGATAAGGATAATAATAATAATAATAATAATAATAATAATAATAATAATATATTTACTGCCTGTGGTTTGTATACAATGGCATAGTAAAATTGTGTCCCATATATAAAACGGCAATGATCAAAATTTGCTTTTAGGAATATTTTAATTTTTGAATATTTTAAAGTTGTTGGATTTAGATACAGAATTTGTGGATATGGATTTCTGACTGTATTGTGTTGATACCATTCAGAGCTGTGTTACTCAAAGTAGTGATCCCTGGACTGCTGCCAGTCAATAAGTCAATAGTTGCTTGCCGCTGGAGAATTTCTAGGAAATGAAAAAACTAAAAACACAATTGTAGCCTAGAAGAATGGAAAAAATAACTGCTGGTCCCACATATTAGATAGCCCTGATTTAGAGGACCCTGGTCTCCTTTTACAGCTGAGAAAATAATAAGTGGTTAGCTGAAGGTCGGTCAATGACTCCACAGCAGACATTTCTTGAACTAAAATGACTAATAACTGTATTACAGACCGAACTGAGAGTGTTTTCCCCTCAGGAACTATAGCCTCCCCCACAAAACTGGAAAGACAGCGGAGACAGAGAGGGACAGGATGCTTTCCACAGATAATAAAATCCCATCACCTCCCTTCCAAGATTGAGTATTGCTGTTGGCCACAAATTATAACCAGAAAACACATACATCCTTTTCGTCTTTGTTGAAGAATGCCTTTTTCGTTCCATGCCTCACTTTCCTCACAGCAATGCTTCACACACCAAGGTTTCATTTGTCCCAGAAAACCTTGCCTCCAACCTTCCTGTTCATGGAAACTTTCCATCTTACCCAACAACTTGTCCCAGAGTTAAGACATGCCAAGCTTCAACAGGTTGAATCCTGAAGTATGGGAAGTACCCCTGAGCACTTACAGAGTACATTTCCTTTATTCCCTCCTGATACACTTAGAATGTCAAGGTCTATTTCCCCCCAAACTACACCAGTGTTCACATCTGGGCATATTGAACATTTGTGCCAAGTTTGGTCCAGATTCATCATTGTTTGAGTCCACAGCAGATGTAGGTGAACAACAACTCCAAGGTCAATGACCACCAAAACCTTCCAGTATTTTCTATTGGTCATGAGAGTTCTGTGTGCCAAGTTTGGTTCAGTTCCATCGTTGGTGGAGTTCAGAATGTTCTTTGATTGTAGGTGAACTATAAATCCCAGAAACTACAACTCCCAAATGACAAAATCAATCACACCTCCTCCAACCCCACCAGTATTCAAATTTGGGTGTATTGAATATTTGTGCCAAAATTGGTCCAGTGAATGAAAATACATCCTGCATATCAGATATTTACATTACAATTCATAACAGTAGCAAAATTACAGTTATGAAGTAGCAACAAAAATAATTTTATGTTTGGGAATCCCTACAACATGAGGAAGTCTATTAAGGGGTCGCAGCATTAGGACGGTTGAGAACCACTGAATTAGAGCATTAAGCTTAACTAATTCTATTTTAAAAAATATATATAAC